CTTTATATCATTAATAGCATTTTCATCCATATGTGGAACATGTGCGCAAGGTGACATTAATTTATATTGATTCTCACTTGAAAATCCATGCGTAACTACATTTTTGACATTTGAAAAAAAATCTATTGTTTTATCTTTTAAAGATTGTTTCTGAGTAAATGATTTCATTTCTTGAGGTAAATTTTCTTTCACATTTTCTTTTGCTTCAGCAAACGCAATTTGAATTGATTTTTTGTTTGATATATCTAGTTCCCCAGATATTATTTTTTCTTTTACAACTTTTATTGCTTCTTTTTCTAAATAAGAATTTAAAAATGTCTCTTTTAATTGTTCTATACTTTTTCCATATTGATAATCTATGCCAAGAGCATTAGATAATTTTTCATTTTGTTCAAGTAAAACATTTTTTTCACTTTCAAATGCCTTTTGTTTTTTATGATCAACAGCAGTTCTAAGCAGCATTGTGGTCAAACCTATGGCGAGTGAAGCAGGTTCTATAGCACCTAAGAAAAAACCTGTAGACATTCCTCCCATAGTTAAATATTCTAGTCCGTGAGTTTGCAGTTGTTTTTTTAATGCTACTTTATTTGATATTTTTCTTTGATTGTTTTGATGTGCTTCTGAAGAATTTAAACCTAAATTCAACTCATGATTTTCTAATAAAATTGATTCCAATGACTTTCCAATACTATCTTCTAACAACTTGCCTTTTTCATTTTCAATTTCTAATGTTTTTGATAATAAAATATTCTCGCTTTGAATATTTTTAAGCTTTGATAAGCCTCTTGCTTGAATTACGGTGTTAGCTGCTATACAAGCAAATGTTATTGCTCCTCCTATTGGGCCAGTAAGAAGTATTGCAGCTGTTATCATTAGAATATTAGCAAAATTGGGGCTTAATATAAAATGTAAAACTTTATTTGTAAATTTTGTTTTTTCTGCATCTTGTTCTAGTCTAGGCTTTAAAGTAAAATCAGGGTTTACAGCGCTATGTTTTTGAAATTTTTTTCTTTGTG